AGTCCAATATAACCACTTTGCATGCATACACGTGACGTACCTGGCACGTACGTTGGGCTTGACCAAAACGGGGAGTTGACCCAGTACGTGCAGCGTATCAGGGTGTATGCTTAGCGTACTGGCCAACTTTCTTGGGACTTGATTTGTGACTTAATCCATTAAGTCTTTGCATCTAAAATGTATATCTAGGTCCTTTAGGACCTCCTAATCCATAAAGTCATAAACTTTATGTGCTTGCATGCATGTGGCTATAGTGCCTCTAAGATCCCATCAAACACTTGCATGCTTGTGGCTTAACCATCAAGGTCCGATTTTTATGACTTATAGTGCCTCTAAGATCCCAAAAGGACAACTATTATGGTCTGAAATCATAGAGATGCAAGAAGCATCAATAATGGAGTCCAAAAGTGACCTTAAACACTCCCATAAACAAATCTAAGCATACAATGGCCAAGTATGGAACTTGATACCTCAAAAGAGTCAGAAATGATACCAATCCCCTGGATCTACAAGCTCTTGGTGGATTCTTGCTTCTTCTTCAAGCTCCTTTCTCTTCTAAAGCACCAAAACTACACCAAGGTACTATTAAATGGCTTCCAAATCACAAAGACACACAAATAGGGGTTAGGGTTTTCATGGTGGTTGTATAGAAATGAGAAGGAGGTTGGACCAAAGGCATAAGATCCTTTATATAGGGATCAAATCCTAAAATTTAGGGTTTTAGAACCTACGCACGTACGCTGGGTATACGTGCATGGCCTCCCCGCCCCAACCTCTTGAGTACGTTGCGCGTACCAGGCATGGTACGCCCCACGTACTGCCTTTCTTAGCCCAAAACTGAAGGCCCAACAATCCTGGCCCAAACCAACAACAACCTATTAATCGATAAAATAAATAATATTAATACTTGCAAATCTCTGATGTTACATGAACATTGTTTATTGGATTCAAAATGATTTTGAATGTTGAGTTAAAATTGAAGAATGGAGAATGGACACTTAGGATCAAAAGTTGAAGGTCCTTATCTGCGTCGTTGATGTCGATGTCAATGCCTTTATGTAGATGTTCGAAGGAATAAAACCTATCAATTATTTTTGTTAGATTTCGAAGGATTTATGGTTTGATGTTTTGGGTTGAATGAAAAGAGAATCCATGGATATCGACTGGGATATTTGGATTTTGATTTCGAAGGATTGAATATTTGGAGTCAAATATCGATATGTTGGATTGAGTTTAATGTTTGATCTGATTTGATTTGGATTTGATGTTGATTGACGAACAGGTTAAATTGATGTTTTAATAGTCAATTTTGGGAAGACCTATAATAACGAACAAGTCCAAATTTGGGGTTTTTAAACCTAAGTCTCACTGCATTCCACTCACTTAAAATATCTTTCCCATTCCTAGAAACGTATAAGTTGTTATGCTTTATTATAATTAGAATAGGGCCATGACGCTTGAATATAATGCACTGCTTAAATGACACACTTGGGAACTTATGTCACGTCCGTCCCACATTAACATTATTCGGTGTCATTGACTCTTTCACATATATTTTGAGTCGTCGGTTCCCTATAACGATACAAAGCATATTCGATTGTTAATGGAAAATGTCAAGAGGTGTGTGTTAATTATGACAAAACATTCAGTCCCATTGTGAATCTTGCTCCAATTCATATAATTGTCAGTTTAGTTATAGGACAAGATTGGGATGTTCATCAACTTGACATGAAAACGTATTTCTTCACAGTGGTCTCCTAGAAAACGTTTACATGCACCAACCTCTAGACTTCCAATATACATCCTATCCCAATTATGTTCTCAAACTATGAAAATCACTTTTCGGACTAAAGCAAGCCTCGTAGGCCTAATATCATAAGTTTTGTAAATATCTTTTCGTATTGGCTTCACATGCAACAAAAGTGACACCCCCTTTTCGTTTTAAGTCGTGGAAAAACCTAACATATCTCAATTGGTCCTGTAACATTGTTACTAGTTCTCAAAGCCAAACTCATCAATGTTCCCACACGTGAATTTGATCTGATGGATCTCTTGTATATATCTTGGTTGTGATTGATGAAATCGACCAAGGAAATTAACCAAGCTTTATAGATAATGGTTTCAAACTAGAAATTAATTGATGAAGAAAAGTACCACACTTACCAATCACCAATCTTCATTTTAGAATGAGATCCATTTCGTCGTGGGGAATACGAAACATAAAAAAAGAGGCAAAATGACATCGTGTTATCAACAAATACGCATCTTGCAATGTCCACACATTTCATTGTCGACTCCCTACAACATATAACATATGGTTATTTTGAACAATATGTTAAATGGTTTAAAGCAAGCCTCGTAGGCTTAGTATCAAAAGTTTTGTAACTATCTTTTCGTCTTGGCTTCACATGCAACAAAAGTGACACCCACTTTTCGTTTTAAGTCGTGGAAAAGACCTAACATATCTCAATTGGTCTTGTAACATTGTTACCGGATCTCAAAATCAAACTAATCAATATTCCCACACGTGAATTTGATATGATGGATCTCTTATATATCTTGGTTGTGATTGATGAAATCGACCAATGAAATTTACTAGTGTGAATATTTAATGCACTAGTTTTTTATTTATAATTCCTAATTTATCACATATAAGTCACACCTTACAGGCAGTGAACCCAATCGAGTATAGTATAGCTTATATAAGCAAGGGTGTCGAACTCAAGAGGAACGGTGGTGAATTAATTTAAAATATTTGATTATAGGTTACAAAACACATGAAAGGAATAAAGAAATGTTTAATTAAATCTCAAATGAATAACTAAATAGCAAATCTCGATAAACTGACAGGAAGACAAATCTCTTTAGGTACTTTGGTTTAATCAAATTACACCTTAAAATCATAGACAATTGCACATACATATTTATTTATTCATGTTCACCGATTTCTAAAATGATTAGGTTCATGTTCACTATTACTAATCCTTTAGCAAACAAGTCAATTCAAGCAGTGATCAATTGATTAAACTAACATGTTTCCTAGTGTTCAGTTCGTATCAAGCAAGACTTGTAATAATAGTTAATCAAATTGGCTGGTTCAATTAACTCATATATGGTTGGTCATCACACATACCCACACATTAATTTACTTATTTTCTAATTAACCCTAGTTTCACGTTCGCTATTCCTAGGTATATAATCTTGATGGTCATCAAAATCATAAGAGGCAAGCAATCAAGCATATGTTCATACAACTCAATATACTTAATAATTAATAGAAAATAATTGTCATTAACACATAAGGACCTTTTAACAAGCTTGGCAAGATAAATTAAACATAAATAAAAAAATCCAATATAACAATTAATCCATAAATCAAGGTTTTATTTGATCATAAACATAAAGCAAATGGTTTCGACACCAAAATCAGACAGTATAAACGTAGTAGTATCAAAATGGAATGCTAAACATGGTCACGATAACAATCCACATGATTACTGACACGAATCCGCTCTCTAATCCTTCAGATCTTCGCTCCTGTCAGCTTAACAACCTTCCGACCGCCTTCTAGACCGTCAAAACGGCCAAATATGTGTTACTTGTCGACTAAGGATCGATGGTAGTCAAAATCTCCCTTCTGGTTGGCTGAAATTCGCTATTTATAACTTTTGGAACCGACTTACGTACGTTGTGTGTAAGTCGGTGTACGCGGGGGTGTACTAAGAAAGCCATCCCGGTCCATTCTTCGGACACAAGCCCAATACACGGGGTGTAATTGCTTCTACACCGGGCGTAGTCATTGTCTCACCAGTACGCTTGGCGTAACTTATATTACGCTGGGCGTAATGGCGGCCTTCAACAATCTTTCTTTCTTTTTGCTTCTAAGCTCGAATTCCGCTCCAATCTTTTCTTTTCCGTTCTATCGACAACTAATAGCTGTAAATTATAATTCAAAGCATTATAAGTACATTTTAGTTCTAAATAAGAATAATAAAAGATAAAATATTAAAATATAATATATAAAAATACGTGTAAAAATACACATATCATTTACCAACCTTTATAGATAATGGTTTGAAACTAAAAATTAATGATGAAGAAAAGTTCCACATTTACCAATCATCAATCTTCATTTCACAATGAGATCCATTTCGTCGTGTGGAATACGAAACATATAAAAAAGAGGCAAAACAACATCGTGTTATCAACAAATAAGCATATTGCAATGTCTACACATTTCATTGTCGACCCCCTACAACATATAACATACGGTTATTTTGCAGCGTACTCATGTTTTGCTATGAACCCTTTGCAAAATATATGGGTAGAATGTGAAGTTTAGACTGTTTTTTAATAAATCCTTAAAAATAGTTTTCTCCATATCAAATATAAAATGCATTATGTTTTTAGTGTTGAAATGTAAATGTGAATGTTTGACTTCTTTAGTTAAATCTTGAGGAAACACACTTCGTTAAATCTGTTTTGTTTTGATCAGTGTCATCTAACACAGTCACAGGGTCATTTTGGTAAAACAACCGTCACTCTGTCCCATTCTTTTCCTGGCCCAAACCTTTTCCTGTCCGGGGTCTACTCCTCTACACAAGGCTGTATCTTGGGTTACCGTAGACTCTCTCTCTCTCTCTCTCTCTCTCGGTCGGTCGCTCTCTCTCTCTCTCTCTCTCTCTCTCTCTCTCTCTCTCTCTGGCTCTTCTCTCTATCTCTCTTCTATTCTCTCTCTCTCTCTCTCTCTCTCTCTCTGGCTCTTCTCTCTATCTCTCTTCTATTCTCTCTCTCTCTCTCTCTCTCTCTCTCTCTCTGGCTCTTCTCTCTATCTCTCTTCTATTCTCTCTCTCTCTCTCTCTCTCTCTGGCTCTTCTCTCTATCTCTCCTCTCTCTCTCTCTCTCTCTCTCTCTCTCTGGCTCTTCTCTCTATCTCTCTTCTATTCTCTCTCTCTCTCTCTGGCTCTTTTCTCTATCTCTCTTCTATTCTCTCTCTCTCTCTCTCTCTCTCTCTCTCTCTCTCGATTCACTATATCTTCCTTGAAAATTTCACTATATAAGAAGGGACGGTTGATTTGATTCACGGTGCATCTCAATGTCTGTAATTTTCTTGAGTTGTTTCTAGGGTTTTACAGAAAATCAGCTGATACAACGAGAGATGATGGATGCCAGAAGGCCTCATTTTATCAAGGGTTTTAACCCTAACATAAGCTTCGATAAACTGGTAAAAGAAATTCTCATTCGTGTTTCATTTGCTTTCTTAGACGCATGTCTACATATATGTAAACAATCACAAAAATATGAAAGAGTGCCATAAACACCTGCATTTTGTTTTTCTCTTAGTTAATGATCTAAGTTCGACGATGAACATCAAAAAATCTTTTCTACTGTTTTTATAGGGCTCACAATCACATTTACAGATTTATACCTAGGGATTAGTATAAGTGGTGGCTTTTAATGATATCATCAATGTTCAATCGTCTGTAGAGTTACGAAGTTAGAGAAAGTAGAATGTAGCTCCGATGTGAATTTGCTTTTACCAATTTGGTAGGATTTAGGGCTATTTTATTCAGATTCAGAAGCCTGTTGATGAAATCATATGTTCATAAATCATAAATAGTTATGATCTTCTGATTTAGAATCCCTATGGTGATTTGTGAAAGTTAGATACAGCCAAGAACTGTTTGATATAGCTAGTGGTTCTCATTGTTTTAAGTGGTATGATTTACTGTTATGTCTCTTTTTACTGTTCATTATGTGGTTGATACTTGTGTTTACTGTTGCAGAAAATACCTTCAAAATTTGGGAAACATTTGGAAGGGAAAACATGTGGAACAGTTTCATTGATGGGTCCCAGTGGGAACACATGGCATGCTGACTTGGCACAGCAAAGTGATGGTTTGTTTATCTTGGATGGATGGGCAGCTTTTGTGAGAGATCACTTCTTAGAAAATGGCGACTCTTTAGTTTTCAGATATGATGGTAATTTGCATTTCACAGTTCAAATCTTTGATCAAAGTTCTTGTGAGAAAGAGACTGCATTTTCAGCCGAATGCCATCAAGATTTAAGCATCTTTGATCAACATTTTGGAAAAAAAAGAGAAAGGGAATATGCATCTTTGTTGTCAAATATGGTTGATGGAGTCCCAAAGAAACCAAGAAGCTCTCAATCACACAATGAACCTACAAACATATCTGAACAAGAAACCATGGATGGAGTTGCAGACTTTTTGAATGGTTCAGAGTTTTGTGGAAGTGGTTTAAAGAATTCCATCACTCCTGCTTTACCTGTGTCAGGTAAAAAAAGCTTATTACTTTCTGTTTATTCATTGTTCTTAATACCTTTTTTTGTATCATTACACCTTTCTGTGTTCTTCTGAACTGATTCAGCTGTACGCCCTAACGAAGAAGAGTTAGGAAGAATATCAGCTTCAGAAGCAGAAAAGATAGCTCAAACTTTCAATTCAAGTTTCCCTCATTTTTCCCAAGTCATGAAAAGATTCAACATAAGTGGTTCATATACTTTGGTATTCCATGTCATGGTTATTTACTTATTTATATATAAAAAAAATGTTATTGATTCTGATTGGGTAAAAATGAAATTGATGAATTCCAGAATGTTCCATATCAGTTTGCTATGGCGTATCTTCCAAATTGTAAAGTAAAGATTGTTCTTCAAAACTTAAAAGGAGAATCATGGATTGTTAATTCAATCCCAACCACAAGAGTCCAAACTTCACATACATTCTGTGGTGGGTGGTTGCGTTTTGTTCGTGGGAACAACATAAATGTGAGAGATGTGTGCATATTTGAGCTTGTGGGAAACTGTGAAATGCGTGTAAATATTCTTAGAGTTAGACAAGAAGCAATAGATCATGAACAACAACAACAACATGGTAGTAGTGATGTTAAGGCATTGACTCATAAAACTTCCGGAAAGTCGGGAAAGAAAGTTAAAGGAAAATCACGCAAAACACAGAAGCTTTCCATGATGGAAAGTCAGAAGGTTGCTTTCTCCATTGAAAAGGTCAAACTTGGTATTGCTGCTAAAGGGTCTGTTGTTGGGTCCCAATCGAAAAGCACAACAAATGGAAAACCAGGTATTATTTTAATTCTAGAATTAACAATTCTGTTAGTTTTTTATGTAAATAGTAAGAAGTGAAAGGATTGATAGGGAAAGAGAGAGGGTTACAAGAAAAAAGGGGATCTTCAATGACAGGGTGTATGTCAATGAAGTCAGCTCCTGAAGAAAAAATGGCTGCTGAATCTTTTGTTTCTAGTTTTCCTTATTTTGTTAGAGTCATGAAGAAGTTCAATGTCAGTGGATCATACACTCTGGTGAGTATTAGTAGCTGTTTCTGTTTATCAGTTTATGTTATTATGTAGCAATTAACAACATGTTTTTATTTATAAAAAAAAATTTAAACAGAAAGTTCCGTATCAGTTTTCAATGGAACATCTGCCTAGCTGCAGAACAGAGATAGTTCTTCAGAATATGAAAGGGGAATGCTGGACAGTGAATTCAATTCCAACTCTTAAAGTGGAGACAATGCATACACTGCATACGTTTTGTGGAGGATGGATGGGATTTGTACGTGATAATGGGATTCAAATGGGAGATATTTGTATTTTTGAGCTTGTTGGAAGCTGTGAAATGCGTGTCCATATATCAAGTCTTGGAAATGGAAACGGAAATGAGTATCCTTCATCTGGAACTGGAACTGGACCTTCAAATCAGTTAGGCACTTAGTTCATAATCAGGTTCGAGTCTTTTTCCTTTCTTTCTTTCTTTCTTTCTTTCTTTCTGTTTTTGGTATCTTTTCGTGAATAAACTTGACATTTAGAGAGGTTCTGTTGATGTTTTTGCAGGTTGGAGTTTTTTTTTTTTTTTTAATGGAGATGTTGCTGATCTATCGGAGCTGATGTGAGTGTGATTGATGTCCGTATATAATGTGGAAGTTAAATTAGGAAGACTTATCTCATGATGTATGGGCATCATATCATATATGTTTTGTGTCTTTTTGTATGAGGGTTGGTGACGGAGAACATTTATGGTTATATTAGTCATGAAATTGCTTCATGTAAACCTGGATTTTGTATATAAATGGTAATCTTTAGTTTACTTTGCTTGTTCATTTGGAAATAAAGAAAATTGAGTTAGTGACACCTATGCTTTCATTTTACATAAACATCTCTGTATTTTATACATGGGTTTTTGACACTGTAGTACAATCATTTTTAACGAATTTACACATCTAGTCACTCAAGTATTTTTTGTGCTCAAATAGTCCTTAAAGTAAGAAATCACATATCAACTACACCATTATGCAGCTGGAAACTGGAACAACTGGTTCCATCCGAGATGAGGCATTTAAATAAATTTAATAAAAATGTTTTTGTAATCCACGTATGCAACACGTTGCATTTAAGTAAATTAGACCAAAAAAAATGGCTTTAGATCCTTGATCAATGCAACCAACTCTAGTTACTTTCTTCTTCCATTCACTTTTTCTTTCTATGGATGTCGGCGATGCTCTGGCGATCAAACCCAATCAGTCGTGGTGAAGGTGTTTGAGAATGAAACAACCCAACCTGCCAAGAATACATTTCAAATTAACAAAGATGATGATCAGATTGGTTAAGATAAAACATGAAATCAGATCAATTTGTGTACCATATGAGATTATGCTTCATTCCCAATCTATGTTTTCCACGAACACATCCAGGCTTGTTGAACTGATTAGTGATCCATGAGGATTTTTTTCATCTTTGGATACGCCCTTTTCCTCAAATCACCATGATCATTATCATCGATTTCATGTTGGTGACTGAAACGCACTAAATGGGTAAATCATGGGCGATGAACGATGGATGGCAGATGCAGATGCTGCATAGATAGGGTGTTGGAGTAACAACAATCCATTTAGAATAGATCGGATCAAATGAAGAGAGATGGAGTGTCGAATTCTGACCTAAGGAGGTGTGGGTAGCAGAAGTAAGAGTGTACAGAGCGTGAAATTGGCAGATTCAACGAATTGCCACCATGAATGGTAAACGTAATAGAGGATGGATCGATGAACATAACAAAGACATAGTTGCACGAAGATATGTCAGACGATGGAGATCTATAAGCATGTTGAAGTATATCATCGACATCCACCACCACTGCGTCTTCATCGGAGGCAACGACACCATAAACGAGACCATTATGTGTGTATGTGTGAGAGAGAGAGAGAGGGAGAGAGATGCCCTCGCCGGAAACCTGCAAATATATGCAATTTTTTTACCTCCAAATCGTAAAGCAAAACCCTTAAATCATATATTTCTCTAAAATATGTCTGCTTTGAAGTATAGCTTGGTTTATCAAATACAAATATGTAGTGTAAAGGAGACACCTGCTTTGTGAAGAAGAAAGGGGAGAAACCAGAAAAGAAAGTTAGAGAAGAAGGGCAAGAGGGTGAGATGGGATAAGGGGTGGGCCCATCCATATTCATTCTTTGACACAAATAGGTTCGATTTAGTGTGATGAGGTGGCCTATTGTGGCGATATAGGTTAAACCAAGTTAACATTTACCTTTAAACCGGTTAAAATATCACTCGTTTATTTATTTAGAAGGTAATTTCTTACTTTAAGGACTAATTGAGCACAAAAAAAAATACTTGAGTGACTATTCATTCTTTGACTTGTGGGCCCATCCATATTCATTCTTTGACACAAATATGTTCGATTTAGTGTGATGAGGTGGCCTATTGTGGCGATATTGGTCAAACCAAGTCAACATTTACCTTTAAACCGGTTAAAATATCACTCGTTTCTTTATTTAGAAGGTAATTTCTTACTTTAAGGACTAATTGAGCACAAAAAATATTTAAAAGACTAAATGTGCTACAGTGCCAAAAACTCTTTATTTATACATTAGACGACCTTTTGCTTTTTTCTTGTGAGATCAACAATGGATATATACTTGCTTATAAATATCAGTTACCAAATTTCAACAAAATGAACTCATCCGTAGCATAAAGAACAAGGATTTCATTGATCATTAATGATTAATCCATCATTACTTATGAATATGTGATATGCATAGTAAGTCCTAACAACATAGTGGGCTATTCTAAAAACAATTGGGCCAAACAATATGGTGACAGATCAAATGTTGTGTTGGACTGGAAAGAGAAAGAGCAGGAAAAATTACATAAGATTAATTAAAGATTGATCAATAAACATAACTACTGTATTGGATGATTAAATCTTGTAGTTTTCAAATAATATTCTAACACTTCCATTCCACCATACAATATTACACATATGAGAAACTGTATATATCATTATATCGAATTATGCATAATCAAAAATCAAACCACAATCATGCCATCATCTTCAATCAACTAACTAGGCTTGAAGAACTTCAACTTCAGCCCATTATCAACAATACTCCAAATCCCCCCAATCGTAAACGCCACACTAAACGCAACACCAAGCCACCCAAGCGACCAATTGAAGTACCAATTGAAACTGTACTTTGTGGGCTTCTTGATCAACACCCACATGAAGCAAGGGTACGCAAATGTCACCGGAAGTGTCAACCCTCCCAACAGTCCGGCGAGACTGGAGAGGAACGGCAGTGCTACACCTATGAAGAAGTTGATGAACCCGTAAACCACCCTGAAACCTGACCGGACCCAGATTGAGCACGGCCGGTTTGTCCGGTGTGTGTAGCTGGCTTCAAAGTTGTCGAAAACCGGCATGGAGTAGATTTGAAAGCTGCTCAGGCAACTGAAGACGACGAGGAGGAAGGTGGTTGCAAGAAGCGATCTTGAAATGTCGTGTTCATGGAACCCAAATAGTGCGTTCAGAATCCCTCCTGATGGCATCTAAAACATTGAAAATATGGGATTATTTGAAATTAAGCGTCGTCGATGGAGTTTTGAAGAACGTTGAAAAATGAAAACGATCGATGCACTTACGAGATTTCCGTAAGCCCAGAAACCACCGATGGCTAGCGGAAACAAACACATGGCGATGAAGAAGTAAGCAACTTTGGCTCCTTTCCACATCGGGACATGAGCTGGGTGCTTGAATGTCGATGGCATCGTCGACTGAGAGAAGATATACACCAGAAAACTTTCAGTTTGACTTTTTTCAGGTCAAGGTTACTATTTTCAAAATTCGAATTCAGTATCTATTTCGTTACAATATTAATACCAAAATCTTCATATGTGTAGAATACTATAAAGTTTTATCTAGAATTAATTAATTAGTGAAATCGTTTAATCATATGAACCAAATTTGAAGTCAAAATAATAAAAGTTTGACTTACCTGAATCTCGAGAACTAAATTATGGCCTCTGAATGCAAATGCTATGATCCCAAGTGCGTTAAAAACGGAAAATATGGAAGAGGTGAATGTCGGTAACGCGAGAGGCTCATAAGAGATGTTGGGTGGTCTCGGTTGGCTGACGGAGAGGACCCACACCATCGTCGAGTAGATAATGGCGGTCACCGCTCCGACAAGGGAGAGTCCGGCGATGGAGTTGAGATTCGGAAGCTGAGACAACACGATGCATAACGACGTGAAAACCAGATACCATTCAACTGTCGTTAACGGATTTGAAGAACAAAGAGGCCCACAAACGATTTCAAAGAACAGTTTCATGGTTTCTCCTCCGACAATGATCAACGCCGTCGCCGTCCCTGCGGATAAGTAAGCTGTCGGAAACAGCGATAGCCATGCACCCAATCGATTTCCTGAAGAAACAAACAACAGAGAACAAACTTATCACCAAATTCATCGATTTTATCAACGAAAAGAGTTAGATCGCATCTTGTCGGCCGGAATTCTTACCAAAAGCTGCTTCGGCGAGCTCGACGTATCGGTTGTACCTTTTGCCGGGTACTGCTTCATGGAGTTGTACCAAGATCCATAAAGTGTATAGTTGCCAGATGTAAGCTATGGTTAATGCAATAATCCCCCAACTCCTGTTTACATAATTTGGGCACCCAAAAGTAAAATTCAAGATACATCTTCTACAAATTTCGATAAAAAGTTAAAATCAATGAAAAGAGATACGTTCTTTTAATTAAAGATAAAGACTTTACCATTTATTGGTCAAAACCCATGATGTTTTTCGACAAGAAATGGTTAAAACAACACGGGATGTTCTTGTTTCCCGTCACATAGGAGACAAAAACAAGCAAGATACGACTTTTTATGCACAAAGTACAAAACTCTGAAAGTTATCAAAATAAATATCGTTCACCGAAAATACGCCAAAAAACTACAAACTTGTGATATTTTATTTTTGATAATTAATGTTGTTGAAATTTGTTCTAGAATAATAATAATAAATAAACTCTTTATACACATGTTAAAAAGTGATTTTTGAATAGTTTAAAGGTCAAAAGATTTACCAGCCGAGGAAGGAGAAAGCGACGGGTAAAAGCAGAGCTTGGAATCCGACGCCGGCGTTGAGGTTATGAAAAGCGGCGTAATGCGCATTGCCGTTCCGGGATTCGGTGATCGGAAGCCAAGCGTCTTGTGGGTTAAGTTTTGTCAGATGACCGACTTCCTCCAGGTAGCCTTTCATGTTCACCAGCACCTTCTTCATCGGCGTTCCGATGGGACTCAAGAACCTCGGTGAAATAAACGACGTCGGTGTCCATGCCGTCGATGACTTCCCACCCTCTTTGGACTGTGGTCTCGGCGACCTCTGTCCTGATGGCGTCAGTATCTCCGGCGTGGAGTCCCTTGGCGTCGCCGGTATCGAAATGAGCTCCGTTTCGGGTCTTTCTTCCATGAGATGGAGAGATGAGGTTTTTGGCGTTTGGTTTGAGTGAGTGGAAGTGGAAGTGGAAGTGAAGTTAAATATTTGGTGGCAGAAGGAGCATAAAGAATGTTTTTTGAAGGTGGTTTTGGTGTGAAAGTTTGTGAAGAGGAGATCTTGACCGTGGAAAGTGGGGGGGTTAATTGCGACGGATCTCGAGACGGTGATAATGAGGAATAAGTGTGTGTCGGGAAAAGCTGGAAATGGAGCGGTAAATATGTAAAATGGACTCAAGTCATAATATAGAATTAATGTGGGGTTAATCACTTTGCGAAAGCAATGTATTAATATGATATTAACTTACATCATGTTCAAAAAATATTAATATGATATTAATGATTATTATGATATTAATGATTATTTGATATCTAATATGGGATCTCCGGTTATCCTATACCTCCG